TATATTTGTACAAGACAAGCAGAGACAGGGAATAAGTGTGATTTTATTTATAGAATTTGAAAATCCTATAAACAAAATTGCACTTTTTCTGTGTCCTTGGTATCTGATACAAATATAATTGAAAACCTAATACAGTATACCCTCCCAAAACCGATCCTGTCAAAGCCGATAACCTGTTATAACTGATAAAAAATTGATCTATCATGTCTGTTTCATAATTCAAACCCAATAACCTACCATTTCTGACAACTGATACTCAAAAGATCAGATACCTATAAGATATCAGGTTTGTCGGGTATTATAGATCAATTTGATTGGCTCAGATCATGCTTTGTGTGCCCAAGTAGATATATAATAAATATAATCTAGCCAATTATATTTATTTATAATCATGTGACCAGTGAGCCATTAGAACCTAAAATCTGATAACCTCTCAAACCTGATACAAAAACTGTCTACCATGCCTATCAGATATGAGAGGGTGTACTGTAACAGGTTTTTTCTTGATGATACTCAAAATAATATAATAATTTTTTAATAAATAAGTTATATTCTAATTTATTAGGGTGTTTCAAAAATTTCTGAATACTTGCATACAATAGCCGATTGCTTAATACGTTGGAATTCTTCTTATCTCATCTGGAATCGACTCCTTAAATTAAAAAATCATATTAATCTTCTTGTTAACCTACTTGCAGCCCAATCTAATTCTAATACCAAGAAAGTTCTTAAATATTTAAAAAAAATATTGCTTCTTGATGATGAGTGGGATACAATAAATGATTTAGTAGAGATTCTTTAACCATTCGCCGAAGCCACTAATTACTTAGGTGGAAGTAATTATTGCACCTATTCAATAATAGTTTCTATTTTAATTGAGCTAAAAAAAAATTGTCAGTTATCAGTCTCTAATAATGATAATATAGCAGACATTAATGACGATGACGATGATAATAACTTTCAAGATTTATTTGACGATGATACAAGGAATCATCCAGGGCGGCCATAAAAAGTGCTGGTGATGTTGATTATGGCGTAGCAGCGGTAAGATATAGATCATTGGTATTTCTAGTACGTATATACGTACGATCCCTGTTAGAGCTCTTCGCACGTTGTTCCTTGTAGTCAATTTAATAGAGATCTTTAACTATATATATAAAACGAACATTTCCAAGTTTATAGTTATTTAAATTGTTAATAATTATTTAAATTATA